TACGACAATCCAATAAATCTGAAAATCTGTTAATATTTTGATCATTCTGAATAAAACAAATTATCTATATTTTTACGTAAATCAAGGACACTAATCATATTGTCATCATATGTACTTGTATTGTCTTCCGACTTAAACTTATCATTTATTTAATTTTTCTTATCATACAAATTAAACGCAAATTATACTTACTACCGATATAAAATTATTAGATATAAAAAAAGTAAAAAGAACAGAAATGTATGTATGCTATTTATATAAAAATTATATTGCTTTGAGATAACTTCGTCGAGAAGGAAAACTCGATACTCTACGTCGTTGAAGCCGTGAGACCAGTTGACTAGCGCGAAGCAATTTCGGTAGTAAATCCATGTTGCCGAGAGACAACTCCATTCGAGGAATAAGGATATTACTTCAAAACGCAAGCTCATCCCGCGTCTTTCATCACACCGTGAGAAATCCCCTGCCCAATCAGAACAAACCCCGTGTAAACGTTCCGAACTCGACGGCGGAAGTAAATGCTGAATCCGCACGGAGGTGTCAGGTAATAGTCGACTCGTATCTTCGTCCTCGCAAAAGGAGTGTGTGTGTGTGTGTGTGTGTGTGTGTGTGTGTGTGTGCGGAGGTGGCACTGAGTATTTTCTCTACTTCGCTGCCCTGTCCCTTCACCACCCCTTCCCCTCCTATGTAACACACCACCTTCAAACCGCCTTTCTCGCGCACACACGCCGCCTTTCTTTCTCTCCACCTCTGTCAGCTTTCCTCTTTTTATCTTTATTCCTCGTTCCTTTTTTTCTTTCTCTCTTTCTTTTTTGGTACTTGCACAGAAGAGATGCCTTTCCAACGGAACGAAGTTTTCCGGGGAAGTAAAGTCATTTCGCTCGTGCAATCTAAGTTAAGTGACTTTCGAGAGCCCTGGCGACGAAACTTACCCCACCGCTTACCTCCTCTCAGAAGCAACCCTTTCACTTTCCCATCGTCCTCCCGCTTTCCACCCCCCACGGCGGAATCCGAAATGTGACGAAGATTACCCTGTATCTAGAGATTCGCGGTCGCTCGGGGCACTTGAAAAATAGACTCGTTTAAGGAATGGAGCCACCGTCCTTTTTGCTAAATTTGCATCATACTCGATGTTACGTAAACTATAAGATGGAACAATTAACTTTAATCAATTATGACTGTTTCGCTTTTATAAGCGATAATATAAGAATTATTTAAATTAGTAATAGATGTGTGTAAAATAGAAGATTGCATTCATTTTAAATGAAATTAAACGAAATTTATATGGGTGTAATTAAAATTTAATTATATAATATTTCGTCGAAGATGGATCGAAGTTACATTATGTGTCAAATTAACCCGTTCTATCGGTATTATAAAATTTAAATTCATCGTAAATATTTCCCGTCCATTTGTCGCATTTTGATAATTAAACCACTTCTCATATTACTTTTAGAAGAGAAATGCGCAATTACTTATCATTAAGTGGATTGCACCGAATATGTATAAAAATCCCGTAGTTTTTAAAAGATAAGAAAGAAGAATAACATTATTATACAAATTTTTCTGAAAGAATAATCACCTTCGCTCTAAGAGATACATCAGTAAGATTAATAGAAGATAATTTAGATCATTCCCAGTCTCAAACTTCATATAAATTACATATAATATAGTCAACTCGTCTAATCTTAATAACTCTTACCCCCTTATCCGTACTATTTCTTCTTAGTTGATCTTAGAAACATGCTTACCGCTCGTGTAACTCTGGCGAAATTTATATATTTCGAAGATAGACCAAAGTTACTAAGAGAAGCTGAATTAATCTGATCTATCGATATATACGTAAGATTATAAGATTTGAATTCGTATTTCCTATCTATTTACTGCATTTCGATAACCACATCATTTCCTATCTACTCTTGGACTTGTGGAGAATAAATGTACAATTATTTATCACTAAATGGACTGCGCCAGATACTAACTAAATTTAAAAAAAAATGCGATAAACCTTTCCGACCCGCGCTTTCAGTTCGCGAGCGAATTCACTTCTATCCTTTTCCCTCTTTTTTTTTTTGCATACTCGCCGGTGCGCCATATTTCGCGATTAACGTGAAATGTACGAAAGTGCCGTAGCGCAATCTATACCGCTGCAATACACGCATCCAGCGGAACGTGTCGGATCGCTCTGCCATTCGGAGTGTCGCGACCACCGGGATTGCCTCGATTTTCAAAGAGTCACGAGCCGCGCCGGCCGCTCGTAAATATGGCGATTTTACTTTTTTTTCTCCAACCCTCCACCAATCCGTCCAGCCGACCATTCTCATTGCGCCTCCGCGCAATCGACCGACGTCGAGTGGAGAACTCCTGGTCCACGGATGGTGCGGTGCCGTCGTGTGCATGGATATGAATCAGGGGACCGTAAAGTGATATCGAATGGAACAGAGACTTTCTCTCCTAGGTGCGCGTGAGCATGAACCTCGACCCGATATATAGTCGGCGACCATTAAAACGAGTGGCTCGTGCCGCAAATTGCTGAAATGACACTCTTGCCATAATCGGTCCCGACGCTAATTCGCTCTTTCGCCGACCGTTTTGCGATTTTGCCTTCGCTCGCGACGCCACAAAGTGTGCAACCACCCCTTCCCTTTCTCGTCGATACCGTACATGACCCCAAGTTTTTTTCTGCCCGCGTTTGTTAAAACCCCGGACAAGTCTCGTGAAAAAGTTTTTCCCTCGCGACGCGTTACAATCGCGTTAATTGCGCACTGGGGATGCAAAACGATGCAAACGTTAAAGAGACAGAATTAGATAAGGTACAAGGGATAACACAATCACTTGGCTTGCAATTATAAACATAAAAGCGGGAAGAGAATATTCTGATGCTAATTAACATTATTATGCTTACGTTACGCATATACATGTGCATCTTTATTTGCTTCAAGATAAAAAGAGGAGATACAGCTCCATTTATTTTAATTAATTGAGGTTTACAAAAAAAGTTATCAATTTTTGTATAATAAAAATGTGGAGATCTAATATTCTATATATATTTTTAGAGCCTTATTTTTATAGTCAATCGATAAAATCGTTATGATATGTAAGAAATTCTTTGTCTCAATAAGTCAGAAAACTTTTGCAACTCAAGAGAAGGAGAGAGAGAGAGAGAGAGAGAGAGAGAGAGAGAGAGAGATAAAGACGTTTATTATTATTCTAGGATAAACCCAAAAACATAAAAATAAAAGAAAACTGTAAGAACAAAAATACACAAATAACGGAGCAATACAACAAAAATAATATTAATACAAATAAAATATGAAACTAAATTATATAAAAATCAAGAAACATGTAACAAAGTAAGCGATGGATGAGAATGAAAAGCCACAAATGAGGATTAAAATTAAAATTAAGAAAAGAAAAAGAAAAAAAAGAAACAACAAAGACAGGTTAAAATTAAAATTAAAGTTAACTTATCTCAGGAAGAAAAAGAGGAAGAAAAAGAGAGAAGGAGAGAAATTTTAAAAAATGAGACATTAATTATGCAGAGATTTATATTATTTTTAACCTTCCGCTGGCAACTTGGATTTTAACTATTCCGTCAGTAATAGAAACTTCGAAAAAATAACGAATTTTTTATTGTTCCGGATTATATAAAAAGTCTAAAAAAAATTTTGGTATATTTGTCAAAGCTTTAACAACGAGTTTCTCTATCACAGTATTATAAAAATCGGATTGTATTTTACTTATTTTTTACAGATTGAAATTTATCTACCAAAATTCATAATTAAAATGTCAGTGATGCCTTTTTAAAGACCTCAGTTGCTGGCGGAAGATTAACATCTCGCATATATTAGTTTCGCAAGAAACGTCTAATTTTTTATCATTAAAGCTAATCCTCTTAACAACCTTCTGGCTACGTCACTTTTTGTCTCCCTTTTTTTATTCATATTATATATTTGTAATAATTTTTATTGTTGGTTACGACTTCACGCATAAAATCTATGACAACATAATAATCGTTTAGTTTGCAGATTTTCTCTGTCAATCTTTTTTCACCGGTCACCAGCTTTCGTTTATTTTCAGAAAATACCGCGTCCGACACAATTGTAATGGGACTTGTTAACGAGCTGCGGGAGAGGAAATTTTCATGTTTACCGCCACGCGAAAATGTACGCGAGAGTTTAGATTGAATGGAAAAAGTGTAAAGCGGGGCAGAGGATGGGAGAGCGTTTTAACGCTTTTGCAACTAACGCTTGCGCGGAGTTGGGATGACATGCTGTCACGAGAAAAAGATTGTTCGCAAGAAGAGAATAAATTGTTCTATTAATAAATCAGATAAAATTAAAGTCTGTAATAGATGTCGGATGAATATGTCAGTTTCAATGTCAAAGTGTGAATTTCCTCGTAATAAATTCTAAATCATTTCTGTTATAATACATGTAAATTTAAATAGCAAAGATTGATTTTTTTAATCGTTTAATCATTTTAATCATTTTTATCAATTAATTAAATCGCAATGAAAAGTATAAAACTAAATGGATGGCTCTTCAATGGATTTTGCATGTAATATGATATTCGAATATAAAATGCATAAATTTTTTTATTACATTTAAAGTTTCAAGACATATTTAAAAAATTAAACAGACTACTAAATTTATGTTTAGGAAATTTATATTGAAAAAAATTCACGTTATTTTACGAACGCAATTGAATAGGTATCATATGAATTAAATACGCGAATAAAATATAATTAAGTATACAAGCATTTTAATTTTTTATTTTTTTTTATACGTGCATTCAAATACATTTTAACAGATTTATATTTTAAATAAATTCTAAATAAATAAAAAAAGAATAAATTTTAAATAAATAATAAAGAGAATGAAAAAATAAACTCTTTCAAAAACACAACACATATTTAATTCATTCTGATAACTTAATTTAATTTTCCCTATCAATGTTATATGTCTTTTATGTCAACATCGAGTAGCAATCCTACATACCTAAAAGCTTCATGACCTGAGAATGGCTGATGAATATATTAAAATAGCCATCGCTGCAGCCGATCAGAACAAGCAGGAGAAAAATCTTGCGCCGCAGGAGATCGCAAGGACCACCACACCACCGCATTGTCTTACATGCTCCGTACGTGCCACGCACCTGCCTAATCAATTAGTTTCAACTTCAACACCGCGTCGTCAAAAATCGCAGAGAAATCCTATCCTTCCCTTTGGCATCAATTGCTCGCACGTGGTTCCATTCACGGACGTGCCCTGCCATTTCTCGCGCTACCCCTCAAAATATACAAGAGTCTCTCGATTACTGCGCTCGCAAAGATTTAGCGCGCTTCGTGATCATTAAAAAAAAAATCATTGCGGAAAAAATTTCGTCCATCCCGGTGTACAAAAAAGCAAATGTTAACAAATGTCAGCGTTTTCAGTATCTTCGCGCGCGTGCTGTCATAAGTCGTGCTGTCGTTTCATGATCGAACGCGTTCTCGAACGGCGAGACGATCACATGGCACTGCGATGCGCGATGACGAGACTAGGGTGGGTGTCCTGGCGTAAGGGAGGAGACGACGTCGTCGACGACGACGTCGGTACTCGACTGAACGCCGAGCGACTGAACGTCCGTCGTTTTCGACGACGAGTCCGGTCGCGCTTGCGCCTATGTGGCAGTCACCTATATCACAACGGAACACATTATCCACGTACGTGTGACGGATTGCTAGAAAAACAGTGCGTACGTGCGTACGTACGCATCGTGAATCCCGGTGTAAGGTGTAAGTCGCCGAAAATAGACAGCCGGATAAACATCGCGGAAATGACAGGGGAGTCCAAGCTACGAAAATAGCGAGGGAATATGCATTGCATATAAAAACCTACTTGTGCTCTTTTTCGAACGTTTATCCGGTTTTGTGCTACTGCCAGAATATTGCGTCTGAATGAAAAATCGCGCAAAGGTGAGCCGTACTCGATTCGAATATCGAGAGGATACTCAAACAATCATTAGATATATCCGCGCAATCGTCAATAAAAGATCAAAAGCGATGCTGCAGTAATTACTAGATATAACTTTTGCAAATGGCGTTATACCGTAATAATTAGTAAATATTTACGGTCACTAAGTCCTCGTGATTGGAAATAGGCCAATGGTGATATCTCCATGGAAACGCTTCGACTAAGGATTTTGCATATTTTACAATATATTCGCGACTTTGTCATACTCTTGTCATCAGTGAATTTTTGGGGATATAACACGTGGCAGAGAATGAACAATAAATCTTTTATGCAAACATCAGCCATTTTAAATATGTATAATATTTTAATACTTTTGCGCGAATAACAGAATAGATGCTTTATTTTATAACTATCACAAAACGTCCGTCCGTTTGAAATAAATTTATTTTTAAATAATTTATTTATTAAATAATTGATAAATTATTTGGATTTTGGATAACTGATTATTTAAATTCATATTTAATTTTATTATAGATATTACTGAAAATCACCAATTTTTTATGACAACAAATATTACATCAGGGTATAAAAATCAAATATTAAATACAAGTGAGAATTTCAGTTTTGAGCTGATACAATATATGCGTGAAAACATGATTTATTCACGAGGATTGTATAATGTGGACAAGTAAAAATCAGTGATCCATTTTATATTAATGCTTGGCGCGTAAACGTAGAAAAAATCAGGAATAGAGTTTCTTCGTAGAGCAAACATTTTCACGACGTGTTCCGCAACGTGAAACGAATCGAATTTACGATATAATTTCGAAATAATACTAGAAACCTTTGTCGTTCGCAATTCTATCGAACTCGTTATTGACGTGACGACAACAGAGTACCGATTAACGGCCACGACTCGACGCAACGACGAAATTGACGTTCCAATAACATCAAAAACTTTCAATCCACTTGGAGTCATGAAATTCCAACGTAATGGCCCCCACCTTCCGCTTCCACTAGTGTTCTGTATCCCCAGGTCCTCGCCTCGTCAGAACGCAATATCGTCACTGATGAGCTTTAGCCCGACACACGAAAACGCGGAGGTAACGTAACGACGAAAGAAATAATTTCAAACGATCTCGCTCGTTCGGATCACCGCCAATTCCTCGTGCAGTGATCCTATGAGAGGAAAACATCGGAGGTATCGACGTCGCTCACTTGTGCGCGTTCTCCGAAAGCGTTAGAATTTAATTAAATTGGTCTCCGGCTACCCCTGTCGTGTCGCAGAGTCCACTTCCTTTCCACCCTCTGGCGAGTCCTGGACAGGTCGCAGCCTCGGATTCACAATTTGATCTTTGTAGAGTTTAACTTCCAGAGAACGGACCATTCTCTGTTCGTCCTTCCATCCTGCCCTCCGCGATGCTCGACAAAACGGCGCTTTAATTATACCGCGGGATTAATTAACTCTCCGTCGAACTCTCGGCGGAACACACCCGCGGGACTCGCCCGAGCCGATCGCAAATAATTAAAGACCGTTTTTCGTTCGATCCTTTGCTCTTTCCTTCGTGGAACCGCGTTTCCCTCGAGCTTACACGCAAACAGATGCTTCGCGAGTTTGCGAAGTGATCTAATATTGATGGCTCATCGATGCGTCGATATTGATGTTCAATGTACAAATGAAATATCTTTAGCTGCGATCATAAAGATGTTGCATATGAAATATGGCGTGAAATATCGCGAAAGAAATATCACCAACTGCACAAGATGATCAACGGAATGTACCACAATTTATGAATTCTTGTTTTATATTGAAGAAATAGTATAAATCACAGGAAAAAAGTATCTAAATTTCATATAATTGTATCTCTAATTGTATTTTATTCTTATATTTTTTTTTCTTTTAGCAATGCATTAAAGTTTTACTGACGAATAACTTCAGAATATATTTTATTTGATTTCATCCACAATATTTTTAAATATATAATATTCTTTCGTTTTAATAACCGCATATATTGTTTGGTATAATTTGACTCATCGTTGAAAAACTACTTCTACTTGATTAAAAAAATAATTTTATTGCAGAAAAAAATGTGAATCGACTCTCCAATTCCTGAGGATGCAGTTTGAACTTCCGTGCGCAGAATCACGCAAGCGTACAGTGAATGTATGTGAACGTATATAAATTGGACGGCACACGAATCCAACACACATAGGAAAGTTACACGAATATACCTAAAGCTAAGAGTGGATCTATCCGAATCCATTAAATATTTGAGCGAACGAAAGAGGCTAGGGAAGCAAGCTCGTGGAGGAAGTCTCCCCTCGGCTCTTAAGACCCATATAGTAGCCCAACTCTCTCTGTATTAATATTTACATTTATATTTCTTCCTCGTCGTTCCTCTTATTTCAACTTAAGCCGCCGGGGATTTCAGCGTTCCAGACTGAATTATTATGATTTTCACAATTCAACACATTTTCGAGCAACTATATTTCGAACTATATTTGCATTTCTAATAAACGGTACATATCTTTGTGTATTATATTGAGTCATCATCTAGTATTATATACACATTACATCGAAAATTAATTTCAGCTTATAATTCTTAACAAATAAATTTTGAATTGTATTTTTAATAAATTTCTATATCATTTTATTTCATGTTTCTGTCTTGTGATATCATGCATTAAAAATATTTACAAGTAATAAAATTACTTATAAACACAGATTTATAAGTAATAAACTTCTGTTTAAATTATATATATAATTTTACAAATTTAATTTTGCCAATAGTTATTAATATATAGATTGGTCTATAATTACTAATATTATTGAATTAATAATATTATCTCAATCACTACATCAATAACTTTCGGAGAATCAAATAAACACTCCACCAAATTCTCGATTAAATCAAGATAAACTAAATATGTGTAACATCCACAAATGTTTGATTACTGTGGTCGATCGACTACACATTGACAGTACTCTTATCTTTAATTAAAATAAACCAAGAGATACTTCTAATGGGAAAAGTTACTTTGTTATAAAATTAAAAAAACAATTAATAATTTATATTATTAATACAACAAACATCTGAAATTGATGCTTTTCATTAATTAATCTTTTTAATTCCACTTTTTATTATTGTTATATACTGCGAATTATTTTATCATTTTAAAAAATGTATAAGAAACCTTATCTTTTAATAAACTGCTTTATTTTAACATCAAATATAGTTAAATGTAATTGATTAAATTTCAATATAAACTTTATAAATTAGATATTTTTAGTTTTTAATTTTATTCAAATTTTTATGCAATAAAAAGAAACAAATCCACAAAGGCTTTCGATTATTTGTGTCAATTCTCTTTTCTTTGCATATGTATTATTTTATTTTTATTTATCTATACAACTTATTATTTTTCGTAATGTATTTTATAATTTAAAATGTAAGATAATATATATTATATAATGAAGCTTATACATTCGATTTTATCAACAACAAATTACTTAAAAATATTCGAAACGTGTATAATAATGCAAAATTCACGATTTTTATACAAGATATATGATATACTGTAACCGGTATGTTCATAATGATTAATTATGCGGCAGGCAATTATTAATTATTCGTTTACAATTATGGGAGCTTATTAAGCGATAAATAACGCGAGCACACAAACAAATTGCGACCAAAAAAGTCACATTAATAAGTTTATTAATTTGTATCTCTTTAATCACGAGAAATAGTATTGTGATTACTGACACATGTGTTATGAGCCTTATGATATTATAAAAAAAACGGTTATTATCATCGTTATCATTAAGGGAATGATAATTAATTTAATGCTCAAAATCTTCTTTCGTCGAATACGTGGCATCTCTCTGTTATTTCTTTCACCTAAAGTTGAAAAAGAAATACACTCACCGATATTATCCGCCATAACCTGATATCTCTCAAGCTTTGTCCTCGTTTCAAAGTTTTTTCATTGCACACTCACTTGAAGGTAACACTCACTAAAACATAATCGAGCGCGAATCTAATTATCCATACATTTCATCATAAAATGACTGCTTAAAATGATTAATTTTATTCTATGATTGAATAGTTTTATAATAGAAATATATTACAACTTGCATCCTAATTCTACAAATACGTAACTTGATTATTATAATAATAAATTCTACAATATAGTATATAACACATTTTATTAATGTCAATTGTTTTTAATATTTTTATCTAGTGAAAATTTTAACTAAAAAAGTACAATTGAAAAAGAGTTATTAAATTTAATATATATTTGAATAAAATTGATTTTCGTTTTTATAAAGAATATTAATAATTTTATCCTACATAGAAACATAAAATAGCATAAAAGTTGAAAAAAGGAAATAATAATTGAATAAACATTGAATTATTTAATTTTTATTTCTCAATTACAAAAAGAGAGTCTAAACTTTATCCTTTAAATATAAAATTTTTTTTTAATACAAATTTAATTAACAATAAAATTTAATAACTTTTACTAAAATAAAGGATTAAATAATTTGATGTAATTTATTTCAAATTTTTATTTACAGAAATTTGACTTTACTCTTCCAGCATCTTTTAATGTGTGTTATACAATTAACTTTTATAAAATATCATTAAAAAAATTTAGTCCAGATATAATTCAAACAATAATAAATCTCAAGCATTTTTAAATATTTTATATATATTTGTTAATATTAAATATTTTATAAATAAATAAAATAAAATAAATGTTATACTAAATATTTTGAGAATCTTAAAATATA